GACTCTGTACTTGGATCTCTTTTATTAGATAAGTTTGCTACAACACAAGAGGGGTGCTGGATTAACGAATGGTTGCATTTTTACTTTTCTGATAGGAATCAGTACACTGTTTACAGTTGGAGGTCTTCCAGTGCTTTACTTACTCTGACCGGTGCTCCTCAAGGTGATGTTCTTTCTCCTTTTCTGTCTTCTTCCTTATAACATGACTTGCCCCACACTCTGATGAAGTCAATTTTGTTAAGTATCGTTGTGATCTGACTTCTTCTATGCCAATTACTCCTCAATCAGATTGTCCCAAGAATGAACAACTTTTTATCAGAAATTAGTCAGTGGCTGCTGTCAAGTGGTCTTAAGGCGAATCCCTCCAAATGTCACGTTGTTAATTTCACTTTTAGACATGCAAATACGACTTACATGAACTGATTCATTCCAGTGGTTCTAGTATCATGGATGGCACTGAAGTTGAAACTAAGTCGAGTGTTAAATACCTTGCATTGTGTATTTCCCCTAATCTTTCCTGCTCTTCCCACATCATGATAGTTCCCAAAAAGACATTTCGTTTAACGTTCTACTTAAGGAATTGAAGAAAATCTGGTATTAGTCAGTCGGTCTCTACAGTTACAGTTTGTTAATTCTTGTATTCTACCTATACTTCTTTTTTCCCCCGTCCCTTAATCTTTCCTGGACTTCTTGTTCTTCTCAATCTAATGTTCCAATGGGTATTTTCCACTGTTTAAGATAGACTTCGTTACACTGCGAAAGGCACTAAAGGCTGTCTCAGTATTGCGAGTGAAGTGTTGCTAAACCAAGTTTTAGTACCGCTATAGATGGATATATAGACCCATACAAAAAATTAGCGAATATTATCTTGTTGGACAGTGAGTGAACATTCTCTTTATGCCCAACTCTCTCTCTCTCTCCTTACATCTGGCTCATCACATAGGACTAGAAGCAACTGTTAGAAGACTATACTCTCGGAAACCTGAGTATAAAATCTTTACAATGCCTTAATTGATAGTCACATATTTGAGGTGATTAGAGAAGTGTGCAAGGCATGACACTACTGATTTACTGAGAAACACTAAGTAAACGGCACTTTTTTTATTATTTCATTAGTACATTGTTGTTAACATTCCCACGTAAATTTAAATTGTATATTAATTTTTTTATTTTTGATTATAGCTTGATTTCACACAGTATTTTGGCACAAGTATGGAATTTTCAGTATGTAGCATCGATAGCCCAAATTTTGCAGGCTGACCATAGACATCAGGTGTGCGTCGGAGGGTACCGAACCCCAAAGCATGTGCATGGTTGGCAAGAGTCCTAACCGCAGTGCCACTGATGCGCAATTTTATCACAGCATAAAAGCCCTATTTTAATTTTTACCCCTCTTATGAGAATATTAGATGCAATATTGTACTACATTCTGAAAATTCCATATTTGTATCAAAAGTACTGTTTGGAATAAATATATTATTAATAAAGTTATTATTATTACAGAGGACGGACAATTAGGCGTGTTTCTCGGTGGGTTTCCGAACATCACCTGGCATAGTGATTAAGTAAAGGACAAACAAAATCTATTCGTAGAGCTATTCTATCTCATCTTGTGGATACAGAACACAAGATTGATGTCAACTTTGAGGCTTTCAAAGTCATTTACCGCATACCAACCAACAAATCTCAATTTCACCTTAAGAGTTTGTTTACTAAATACTGCTGAGGCTGGCTGTTGGGATCCACATTAAGAAGCCTAATTTATGTGTCCAAAGGAAGCTGGTTTAAACATTGTCCTTACCTTGGCCATCTAGGTTTGAATGATCCTCAATTCGCTGTGGAAATTTCCTTAATTTTATTTGGTATTATACTTACTGGTTCATTTTTATGCTTATTATAATTTATGCATCTTTAATGAACAGTAATTCCATTGATCTTAATTAACAAATCGATATTACATGGAGGATTTCATCATGAGCTGACATCAGTTAGAGAACCATTGGAAAACCTGGGAGTACTGGACAGCTGTTTCGTCCTAGTTTGGGACTCTTCAGCAGTACGCGCCCACCAGGATTCGAACCCAGGACCTTCTGGTTACGAGGCGAGCTCGTAGACCATTGAGCCACTGGAATCCGATCCAATGGTCCTTGAATTCTAACTTCTGCCAATTCACGACATAGCGCGACCATTTCGCAATGTCTTCTTCGATGAGTAACTGTCCTCATCTTCAACCTGCTGTACCCTACTGGTCACGGCTTCCCACTAGAACCCCAGGTTAACTGCCTGAATAGGGCCAGTCACTAGTGAGCATCAGATTAATTTGCAAGTATTGGTTTTGTAGGGATTTTGTTTGATTGCATGGAGGATTTCATCATGATATCGATATTATTTAAAAAGTACAAATATTGATCTTGACTACTGTTCTAGAATATTCTATGTAAATAAACATGCATATATAATTGTAGAGCCAGAAGAGGAATTTATCAAAAAGGATATTCTTTGGTCAATTATTTTGTTTGCTTATAGTTGTCTGAATTAATATTTTTGCTATACCATTATAGTTCTTGAGATTATTGTGATTAAACTGTTGACAAAATGGAATAGGGTCAATGACACAGCATACTGAACCAAGAGCAAATATCTTAGACTTCCAAAGATGATGAATTCAACTTGTTTTTCAAATGTTTCATTTTCTCACAAACCAGACATATAACCTTTTTTTAAACATGTTTTGTACAGGTTTTCACTTGAATGGTGAAAAGTTGTATTTAGAACATAACAAGCTCTTTACTCTTACTATTGATCCTACTGTACATAATCTGCTTTAAAAAATAATGGTTTTATTGATTTCTATACATAAAACCACACGAATGGGTCAAAAGGTACAATTCACTGATTTTAGACTTCTATTTTTCTAGGAAAACATTTTTCATACTGCACAGCTGAGGTCATCACTGTCGTCGTCAATTTCGCCGACGCCAGACACAGAACCAAGTTAGTAAATAAATTGGTGGCTGTTGACTAGCAGCTCATTTCGTCCTAGTTGGGACTCTTCATCTGGATGTACTTACATTTCTCAGTCAGTGATTTATGGTGTTCACACTGAGGCTCAAACTCACTGCCCAAAGTTTCAAACGACAACGCACTATCCACTAAACCACTTGGGCCACTGTCACTCACTCGGGAATACAGGTCCATCTAGATGGCGAGTCCCAAATAGGGCGAAAGCGCATACTAGATCCAACTGCTAGTCACTATCCACCAACTGACTTCAAGTTAAATCCTTAGAGATCGTCCAAACATCCACACAAGGGGCCAACATGTCAACCTGAGGCCGAGCACTTTGGTCCAATCAGTCAACGGGAAATTGCAAATTTAATTAAACAAATTAATAAGTGTTTTAAAAAACACCACATTTTGTTAATTTTCCAAATAATGTGACAAAAATTTGCTCAGAAGATTATCATTCGTCATTTGTCATATCATTTGTCTGTATTCATTTTTCAGCATCCACCTGAGAGCAGCGGTCATCCTTCTGAACAGAGATCTTTAAATAATATTTTACTTAGCCATGTTGGACAACAAACTTCAATCGTAACTGTTAATTAATGAGCATTACTTTCGTTTAGTAAAGCAAGACAGAATTCGACTTTGAGAGCACTTGATATTTATGCACTACAGTATCTCTAAGTTAATGATTAATGTGAATCACATTACACTAGAGGATCTGGACTTCGTGGACGACTTATGTCTAGTGTTACACAAACTCGAAGACTTACTGGCGAAAATCAACAAACGGGAAGAAGAAGCGGCCAGCAGACATAGGACTTCAAGTGAACATAGAAAGGACGGGGGTGAGGAAGACAGCCAACCAACAACAACAACCACCAATAATTATCAACGGATGAATTTGGAAGAGGTCACTTTCTTCAATTATCTAAACAGCAACCTTTCGAACAAAGGCGGAATAGATGAAGATCTCAAAGCCGGCCAAGACTGAAAAGGCAAGGTACATCTGTGGTGAGAGCTGTCTGCAAGACAAAACTGTAGGTAACAATTGATGCAATGTTTACGCCCCGAATTGGGGTTATGAGGAAAAACAAGAGAAAACCCTAACCTTGAGGAACTCACCAACTAATCATAGCAGACCTAACGTGTACAAATGTGATCCTCAGATATACAGATAGCTTTTTAAGCAACGGTAACAAGCAGTACAAAATAACCTTCAGCAGAAAAACAACCAATCAGAAAACGTTGCCTCTCTGCTAACAGTAACGAATAATAATATACATAAAAATCTATAAATGTCTCTTAATTTTCTCAATAAACGATCTGTTGCCTGACCCTTGTCTTCTGTCGTTATACATCTTCATCACTCTGAAATTAGTGTTAAAATCTTCTGCGCTCAGTATAAACAGCGAAATTCCGATTTTCAACACCAATGTTAGGTCAGTCAGTTCTTTCGAATGGATCAGAAGTGTGCACACGAGTCACGGGAAGCATTTCCGGCAGGCCAATGCAGCTTTTTATTAACAGCTGCCTTGGTGAGCTACGTATTGAAAATAAAATGTCCAGTAAGAATTAGCAACAAGAAACGATTGAAAAAGAAACCAGCCAAGAACCCATTACTCAACAGATATTCCGAAAAAAATGGAGATGGTTTGGTAACACTCTGAGTAGACTGTCGAATGAAATCGTGCTGAGTGTAGGCCATCGCTCGAGTGGAATCTGAGTGGGAAAAGACGAGCGGGGCTTCCAGCGTAGACATGGAGAAGACCGTGTGAGGAGGAGATCAGAAATCATTGGCAACCGCAGGGCCAGCTAAATAGAACTGCAGAAAACAGAACAAAATGTAGGTGTGCTGATGAAGGCGTATCTTCCACTCGGAACCCAACAGAACAATAATGATAATAATAATAACAATAATACCGAAATTTACAACACATTAACAGTAATATGAGTAAACTATGTTTGAAAAATATCTTAATTATTATGCTTACCTGTGAACTTGAAATCCATCAGCGTAATTCCATACGGATTAATATACTCCTTCGGCACTTCACAAGTTCCACGTTCTCTTCCATCAGAACTAATAACTTTTGGTAAAATATTCTTCCATGTAGTCGCTTGAAAATGAATCCAGAAAGTAGCGAGAATTAGTCAGGCATTAAATATTCCGGAAAGTTAACACCACAGGAAAAGTACATCTAAATATCACACCAACAGTTTAACCTTTACTAAATGTCATAAGCAGTAAATTTAGCTTTAGGACAAAATATTCTACTAGCGCTAACTTTAGGCAAAAACTACACTTAGCAAAACATGAAAAGAGACAGGGAATCAATTCCTACAAATTATGATCTCAACACTACCAACCAACTGTAGAATAATTTAGTCGCTGTAACTTTTCGACCATCAAAAGGAACATTTTGCCTATGAAGGAGAAAATACAGTCAAAAACTTTGACAAATGTGACCACAACAAAGAACCGATGGTTTATTTACGAAGCTTTCATCATTGCCCTACTAGGCAACATCTTCGGCGCATACTTCAATTTGAATTGAAGTGAGCAGTTAGATTTCTCCACGAGTTTATGAGTCATCTCTCCTGGTGACCTTGAACGTGATTGGTTGTTTTTGTGTGTTTTCACACTCTCTAGGTGGCTACTTGTATTGGAACTGATTGTTTCCTTGACCTGAACTTTGACCCTTTGTGTGTGTGAGATTTCCTTGTTGTCGATTGGTAAATTTTGTCTATGTCAATCTGTCTACTGATTGACGATTCACTGGAATACGAGTTCAGGCTTCTAAAAATTCTCTAGCATTCTTGGTGTTTCCTCTGTCTAATATTTGAACGCTGGTTGTCCCAGTCGAATTAATGTCCGTGGTTATCTGCATGCAGTGAGGCGATATGAGGTAGTGGATATCATGTCTTTTGATGGCTAGTTTATGATCATGGATACGAAGACACGAATGGGACGTCCACTTTGGCCAATGTAGTGTTTTTCGCATTCGTTGCAACTTATTTTTTATATGATCAGCTCACTTCAAATCGAAATATGCACTGAAGATGCTGCCTAGTAGGGTAATGAAAGCTTCACAAATAAACCATCCAGCCAGCTCAGAGGACACAACTACATCAAAATCATCCACCTGAGCTACAAATCTTCTCCATCATACTTAAATTTCTACCTTTCTACAAATTACTTCTTTTCACAAGAGATAAACCTCAGAACCGCATACAGTATCTTGTATTCAAACATCATTTACACTCAAATAAACTTAAAGGCCTTCAACAGCGTCGATCGAGAGGTGCTTTGGCAACTAATTCGTTACTACGGGGTGCCACCGACAATTATACATCTCATCCAACAGTTGTACGACAGTGATGCATGCCAAGTAATCCACAACGGGAAACTTACGGAATCCTTCGAAGTGAAGTAAGGAGTAAGACAAGCTGGCTGCCTTCTATCTCCAATGATTTTCCTGATTGTGGTAGACTGGATATGTGACAGAGCAGGCCGGGCAAAGAGGAGACAGGCATAAAACGGACTCACAAAAAATAACTGGAGGATCTAGACTTCGCTGATGATATATGTCTGATTTCCCAAAAGCTGGAAGATATGCAAGTGGAAAGCAACAAGTTAGCAGAAGAAGCATCCAAGATAGAACTTCCTTCAGGTGAACATAGATAAAACAGAGGTGATGAAGATTCCTGGCCAACAGCAACAGCCACAGCAACAACAGACAACAATCAGCATAAATGGGAGAAATCTGAAAGAAACAACCTCCTTTACTTACCTACCTGGGAAGCATCGTTTAAACTACAGGCGAACAGAACTGATGATGAAACCAAAGCGAGGATCGGAAAAGCAAGGCAAGCTGTCATTACTCTCAAGTCGGTGTGGAGACCAACAGCACTCAGCATGGAAATGAAAATAAGAACCGGATTTTCAACTCCAATGTGAAGTCAGTTGTCTTCGCTCAATACTCAAGATCAGATGGCCGGCCAGAAAAGATCAGCAATAGTGGGGATCTCTGGGAGCGAACCAACCAAGAACCGATTGTGAAACAAATAGGCAGGAAGAAATGGAGGTGGATTGACAATACTCTAAGGAAACCATCAAGTGAGTGACATCACTAGACAAGCCACTGCTCGAGTGGAACCCGAAACGGAAGCGGCGAGTTGGTCGTCAGTGCAAGGGTGACTTGGAGGAGGTCATGTGAAGAGGAGATGAAAACGTGTGGGCAGACTTGGAGCCAGGTGAAAACTCTAGCAGAGAACCGAACGCAATGGAGATGCACGGCTGAAGTCCTATGTTCCTCTAGGAATTAAAGGAAATAATAATAATATTATGATAAACTTACTTTGATTTGTATGTGATGCAACACGAATTAAATCGGATAAATATAATAATTTATACCCGTCTATTGTTTCATATGGCAGTTGAAGGATTAAACTAACATTTGTTAAAGTTGTCCAGCCACGATTTTCAACTATATACGTGTGTTCAAGTTTTGGTCCAATATCATAGGAAAATATTTTTCGAGATATTGTGTCTAGAATAGAATAGAAATGAAATTAATTTTGTATTCATTAAACAGGATGTAAACAATTCATGTGAATGCATAAACAATGCAAAGAAATTATTCTTACCAATATCGGGATATTGAACAGTTGAAAACTGGTGATAATGTACTTATGATTTTAAGGGGCTAACTAATTAAAACTTATCCAGGGAGCATTGTCTCAACTACAGGAGGAACGGACGAGGATGTCAAATCGAGTATCCGGAAGGTGAGAAACACATTCATCAACCTGAAACCAATCTGGAAATCTTCGTCACTCAGCATCAACAACTAAATTCGGATTTTCAATACAAACGACGTCAAGTCAGTTCTTATATACGGATCAGAAACTTGGCCAGTGTGTCACAAAGAATATTTCCAACAGTCTGTTGCAGACCTTTATCAACCACGGCTGTCTTCGCTCTATACTGGAGATCAGATGGCCGGAAAGAATCACCAACAAGAAACTATGGGAACAAACAAAGCAAGAACCAATCGCCCAACAAATTTGCAGGAGAAAGTGGAGATGGAATGGACACTCGCTGAGGAGGCCGTTGGGTGACATCGCGCGTCAGGCCATAGCTCGAGTGGAACCCGTTAGGGAAGCGGCGAGTGGGACGTCAGTGCAAGGGTGACATGGAGGAGATCGTGTGAAGAGAAGTTGAAACAGTATGGATTAATATGGACGCAGGTGAAAAGCAAAGCAGAAGATAGAAGCAAGTGGAGACGTGTAGTTGAAGCCCTATGTTCCATCTAGGAACCCAAGGGAACAATCAATAAATTAATTAATTAACACTGAATACTATCTGTCATTCTATCACATTATGTTTCTTTATTTAAACAAGACTGTTCATTTAGCTGCAGTTCTAATTTATAGGTAGTGCATCGGTGGCACAGCGGTTAAGGCACTCGCTGATTATGCATATGGTCCAAGGTTCGATCTTCTGCCGACGCACACCTCATATCAACTGGTCGGACTGGTAAATTTGGGCTACCGATAACACATGCTGAAAATTCCATATTTGTACCAAAAATACGGTGTGGAATCAAGCTATAATCAAAAACAGATTATTGCAAATTGGTCAAAGCTTGGATTCATGTACCCGAATTTGGGTTCAGTCACAGTGGCTGAATGGTCGTGAGCTCTCATCGTTACCTGCAAGTCCTGGATCCAACCACAATGCAAATGGTTAACACTACTGAAGAGTCATAGAGTAGGAAGAAACCACTATCCAGTTCGCCTTGTCTTCCGTGGTTCTCCAACTGATGTAAGTCCTCAGTCGAAATTGAAACAATGTTAAATTATCTAAACCTATTTTTACATTCCATATCATATAAGACTGATCAGTTGGGGAGGGGGGGGGTGGCGTAGAGAAGTTTTGGATAGTTCTCCGGTCACAATTCACTAGCATATAAGATCCCGATTTTCTACTCTGTTGTGAAGTAAGTGCTATTATATGGATCAGAGACTTGGCTCCGCCTCACGAAGGTTACTTCGAACAAACTACACACCTTCATTAACAGCTGTCTTCACTCAGTACTACTGAAGATCAGATGGCCCGTCAGAAAAGATCAGCAATAGTGAGGGATCTCTGCGAGTGGACCAACCCAGCAGGAACCGATTGTGCAACAAATATGCAAGAAGAAATGGAGGTGGATTGGATTGGCCATACTCTGAGGAAACAAACCATCAAGTGACATCACACGCCAGGCCATCGCTTGAATGGAACCCGAATGGGAAGTGGCAAGTTTGTTGTCAGTGCAAGGATAACATGGAGGAGGTGATGTGAAGAGGAGATGAAAGCATGTGGGTAGACCTGGAGCTGGGTGAAAACGTTGGCGGAGAACCGAACGCAATGGAGACGTGCAGCTGAGGAGAGATTATGGGCAATCGTTGACCCAGCTGAAGAGGACGGCATAAGATAGGACAAAGTGGAGATGTGTTGTTGAAGCTCTATGTTCCACTCGGAACTCAAGGGAATAATAATAATATAAAGAGGTATGAACAGCGCAATTAAAGTCCAAAAGGTGTCAAGAATCAACCTCTACTTTACCTTTATTCTATAATCAAAGTTAATGTACAGAAATGTGAATGACGAAAAACTTTATGGAAGGAAGCAATCATTGCTTACTTTGTTCAACTACATAAGGTTCCATTCTGTCATCAATTATACTTCGTGGTTGTACACCAGCATAAATATCTACTTTTGGTTTATAAACAATTTGATATGGTATACTGATTGCATTATTCCATTCTTCATAGTCATTTGTCTCTGAGGTTACTTTAATTTCATACTTTGGCATAAAAGTATAATTGAAACTTGAATTCATAAATGATAAATTATCATTATTGTTTGACAAATGATTTGTTGACAATGTTGCCATAGGCAACAGACTTTCAATAAATACAGATATATCTATTTGTATAACTTCATTAGGATAAATCCACAAGTGGGGTAATAATGAAACTAACGCTACAGTACCACTTTCATCAATATTTACTGACCATATCGCTGTGTCAGTAACATTGATAATATCTTCTGAGTCAATTTCATCTATGAATAACTTTTTAACATTTATCTGTGTAATTTTACCCTGAATACTGTTCGCCAACTGGTGTTCTTGATCAGCTTTAATATACCAATTATAGAAACGAGTGATAACACGTAATCCACTTGATTTAGTTGGCCCCAAATTGATTATTCTCACTCGAATCATCTGGTGCTGTTCCTTTGCATTACCGTATTCAATTCGCTTGACAAATGAATTGTTTCCTTGAGATACAATTGTCTCAAACCTTTGTGATGTTTTCAATGAATGTGTGGGTATCCAACTTAAATTCACTAGACTTAAGTCGGAACGACATTCTGGTGCTGGAATACAAACTGGTTGAGCCAGCTGTATCGGCTGTTCGCATTCAGACCAATCTATTATAGGCTGTTCGTGTTTATGGCATGCTGCGAAATTTTTAGCCAGTCGGCATTCAGTTAGATTTAGGGTTGATTTATAGGAAATTTTTAATGGAATACTGTTCAAATTCATTTCTTCTAATCCACGCAGGGTGATCAAATGAAATTTTACAATCATATAGGTTTGTGTTGGATCAAAATTGATACTAGTGACTTTATTGTTGAGTAATTCAAAACGATGTGTCTGACTGTGAAATTGAGAATTCAGCAGACTTAGTGTAAATGTATCTAATCCATGTTTTAAAGATGCATCAGGTGAGAAGGCTTGATTTGTTTCATTTGAATTTGAGGCGAAATATTGATTCCAGATAACATCTGGATCAATTTCATGATTGCGGAATGCGGTTGAACTTAATCCCTTGGGGATGTTGACATATCTGCGTAAATGTAGATCATATAGACGTATGTGTATGGTAAAGGGTAGTGTGGTTGACTTTTTAAAAGGTAAGATTTTATAATGTGGTGGTATATTTATTTGACATTGTGCTTTCAGTAGTTTAGGCATTGTAAATAAGTGTGGAGCAGTGTTCGCCTTCAAAGAAGTGACTGCGAACTCTGGCCAGCCGTCGCCATCTGCATCAAAACCTCGTGATAATCCAATCCCAAAGCCGTCTCCAAATTCTGGTTGGGGTGATTCTAAAATCTAAGCAAAAAAAAACAGTATTTAAAATACTCATGTCATTTTTGTGTGAGCTTCCTAGTCTGTGTAGATGGTAAAACACAAGTCTGATAGTCTCAAATGAATCACGAATTTCACATAAATCAATGATGAGCAGTTATTAGTCTTTCCTTGCCCTGGTAAGTGGATGTCTTTATTCTTTCTTTCATTTGATTACGTAATCTTTGGCTTTAACCTCACCCCTTTGATATAGTATAATTTTGCTTGTCTCTTATTTTGTTCCTATCCAGTATAAACGTTCCCTAGTGAAATGTTTGTTCTCAAGGGCCCGAAAAATATGCACGAGTGACACATTGATGGATGAGTTTCGAAATATACATTCAGTTTTATTAGCTAATGGTTATCCGGAGAACTTTATCACTTGTCACAGTAAAGGAAAACCACATCTCGAAAAGACAGCTTCTGTACCAAAGAAAGCTATCTTTATTAACCTACCATTCAAGGGCGACCAGATTATGCAGTTGACAGCTAGCACAAAGACTTCGGTCAGCCATCAAACGCACATTCTACGCCGCATCTCTTTTTCTCATTTGCCGAACATTTTCGATCCCTGTACCTACGATTAAAGGACGAAATTCTATGGACTCTACTTCAAACTGTATCTACAAGTTCACCTGCAGCTGCGGTGACACCTATATAGGTAGAACCAACAGAATGTTCCAATGTCGTCGAAAAGAACATGTTCCAAAATGGCTACTAAATCATATAGATAATCCCAATGCGATTAATCTGAATAGAAATCTAGCATCATCCATTGCAAAACACTTATTAATGTCAGGTCACAAAATCAATATTAATGACTTTCACAATTATTTCACATAACTCTAATTCAAGGTTATTGAAGGTGATGGAAGCACTTTGGATTAATCACAACTGTGTGTACAAAAAACAATAGACTTCAATCTTCGCCTACCATGGACAACATGACCTATCTAAATTTGATTGGTCATTAGTATGTACTTTTGTTTTTTTATATAACTGAGTAATTGTCATGAACTTTATTTTATTATTGTTAACCATGTTAGTTGTAAAGTGGTTGTAAAGAAACTACGAAATGACATATCATCTCGCGAAATTTGTCTTCTTAATGCCTTATTCAAATCTTATTTGTATGATTTGAGATGAACTCAGTACATTGTTACCTAATTTATTAGTCACTCAGCATCTTACGCATCTCTCGTCCTTATTACGTAACTCCTTTACCATTGTATGCATACATTTATTTTGTTTAAACTTGAACTGCCTGTGTAAAAACCTCCATAAGCGTAATTTTCTGAGCGCTGTTCACTAATTGTGGAGCTTTCTGTCAACTGACATCATGAAAAAATTTGCAAGTATGTTAAAACTTTTCTGTTCCTTAACCTGATATTATAATACTTTGATAAAGCTATTAGCATTAAATAGCGAAACATCAGTAAAAGCAACAATATCGTTTTGTTTTTCATTCATTAGGAAATACAAAAACCTTTATTATAGTGAATAAACCTGATAATTTATTAAGGCTGTAAGCAGCTTATGAGAAGCCGACGAAATAAACAATGATGGTACCATATTATTCTGCACAAACCACACTGTAGCTCTTGCTTTATTCAAATTCATCATACATATTAAAATGCTTAAATAGTTAAATAATATTTTGAATTTTTAAATTAAAAGTACAGTCCAGGCATTCACATAACTTCAGAAGAAATAAACAAATTTACATAGATTTAATCACTAAAATAACCTCCACTAGTTTACTAGTTCGCTAGTTTTCTAGCTGGTTTTGACCCCAAGAAAAGGGGGGAGGTTTGGCATGGAGGTTGAAGGCCTATGGCGAAAAATCACTCCAGTCTCTACAGAAACATCACACCACATGAAAAATATTTTTGATCACAGGATTTCATCATGAGCTGACATTGGTTAGAGAACCATTGGAAAACAAGTTAGAAGTACTGGACAGCTGTTTCGTCCTAGTTTGGGACTCTTCATCAGTACGCACTCACCGGGATTCGAACTCAGGACCTTCTGGTTACAAGACAAGTGAGCTCGTATACCATTAAGCCACTGGGACCCGATCCAATGGCCCATCAAGTCGTGACCAGTAGGGTGCAGCAGGTCAGGTGTGAGGACAAATACTCGCCGAAGACATTGGCTAGCGGTTGCGCTATATCGTGAATTGGCAGAAGTTAGAATTCATGGGCCATTAGATTGGGTCCCAGTGGCCTAATGGTCTACGAGCTCGCTTGTCTTGTAACAAGAAGGTCCTGGGTTCGAACCCCGATGGATGCGTACTGATGAGGAGTCACAAACTAGGACGAAACAGCTGTTCAGTACTCCTAACTTGTTTTCCAATGGTTCTCTAACTAAAGTAAGCTCACGATGAAAATCCTGTAACCAATCAACCAAATCCCTGCAAACCAATACTTGAAAAATATTTTTCTTAAAAACATACTTATTTTTTACCGGAATTAGAGAGACCGAATGACATGGGCTGATGAAAGACTTCGGAAAGTTAGTCAGCCGATGTACCTTCTTTTGATGAAAGCAAAATAAATATGCGGGAGTGAAATATCCGTACGCTGTGCGAAGCTGGGAAGACTTCTTAGGTTGCCAAAGAAATGAGATGTAGCACAGAAATCTTACTAGGAATCTATGAGAACAGATGAAATGGATGTGGCCTCTCTAAATTGTTAATTGGATAGTCAATAATCTATTCCAGTCAACTCTGCTCAGCTTCATCGATTTTGGAAAGGCCTTCGACAGATATAATAGCGAAGTATTTCGGAAACTACTTCAACACTGTGGCGTGCTTCAAATTTTTGTCAACCTCACTCAACAGTTGTATGACAATGGCACGTGTCGAGTGATCCTAAACAGGGAACTCAGTAAAGCCTTTTAAGTGGAGACGGGAGTAAGACATGACTGCCTACTATCAACGATGAAATTCCTGAATTTGGTGGACCAGATTATGCGGCAAACTCTGCTTGGGAGGGCGAAGACAGGAATACGTCGAATCGATTAGAAGACTCTAGAAGATCTGGATTTCGCAAATGACTTATGTCTAATGTCAGATAAACTCAAAGACTTGCAGGTGAAAGCAACAAGTTGACAAAAGAAGCAGCTAGCAAAGAAGGGACTTTAAGTGAACATAGAGAAGACAGGGGTAAAGAAGATACACGACCAACACGTAACAATCACTACCAACAGAAAAAATTTCAAAGAGGTCATTTCTTTCCCTTTTAACAGGCTACTGTAGACTTTTATCAACAGATACCACTTTCATTGAATCCACACTGAAAATCAGATGGCCAACTGGTCAGAAAGAATTAGAAACAAGGAACTCTGGGAACGAACCAGTCAGAAAACCCACTGTTTAACATATATGTAGAAGAAAATGGAGATGGATTAGACACGCCGAAGATACCGTTTGGCGACATCGTGCTCAATGCAGGCCATCACTCTAGTGGAAAACGACAAGTTGGACATGAGTCAGCGGGTAATATGGAGAAGATCATGTGTGGAGTGAGATGAAAGGTTACTAGAAATCATGGGGCCAGGTGAACAGGACTGCAGAGGACAACATCAAATGGAAATGTGCCAGTGAAGTCCTATGTCCCATTCGGAATATTTCAGAGATTTGCAGTATGAAAACGTATCCTTTGAAGGGAAGATGGGAGTAAGACAAGCTGGCTGCCTACTGTCTCCAGTGTTTTTCCTGATTGAGGTAGATTGGATAATACGACAGACAGCGGGCCGGGCAACGAGGAGATAGGCATAAAATGAACCCACACAAAATACTTGGAGAATCTGAACTTCGCCAATGATATATGTCTCATTCCCCACAAACTGGAAGACATGCAATTTAAAAGCGACAAGTTTGAAGAAGAAGCATCAAAGATTAAACTTCCTTCAGGTGAACGCAGAGAAAACAGAGTTGATGAAGATTCCTGACCAATAGCAATAGCAGCAACAACAACACACAACAATCAGCCAGCATAAGTGGGAGAAATCTGAAAGAAACAACCTCCTTTACCCACCTACCTATCCACCTGGGAAGCCTCGTTTCAACTACAGGCGGCGGAATTGATGAGGATATCATCAAAGCAAGAATCGAGAAATCAAGGCAAGCTTTCACTACTCTCAAGTCCGTGTGGAGATCGACAGCACTCAGCATGAAAAATAAGATCTGGACTTTCAACTCCAATGTGAAGTCAGTGCTATTATAAGGATCAGAGACTTGGCGCGTCATAAAGAGCATCTCAAACAAACTACAGACCTTTATTAACAGTTGTCTTCGCTCTATACTCAAGATCAGATGGCCGGCCAGAAAAGATCAGCAGTAGTGAGGGATCTCTGGAAATGAACGAACCAACCCAGCAGGAACCGACTGTGCGAGAAGTATGCAGGAAAAAATGGAGGTGGGTTGACCATACTCTGAGGAAACCCTCAAGTGAGTGAAATCACACGCCAGGCCATCACTCGAGTGGAACCCGAACGGGAAGTGGCGAGTTAGTCGTCAGTGAGAGGGTGACATGGAGGAGGAGGTCATGTGAAGAAGAGATAAAAGCATGTGGGCAGACGTGGAGGCAGGTGAAAACGTTGGTGGAGGACCGAACGCGATGGAGACGTGCAGCTGAAGTCCTATGTTCCTCTAGGAACTAAAGTAAACAATACTAATATAGTATGAAGAGTATTTTCGCTTATAAAAACTGATATTGCTAACCTCTGGGAAATACTAAATCTTCCAGTAGTAGTGATCCTTTGCTTCTTAAGTAAACCTGCGTTGTATACACTACGTGATCATAATTAGATACATATTGCAAATTGTAATATACTTAGAAGCGTATACCGAGATCAGATTACGGGCTGTATATTTTTGTTTACTATAACACTCAAATGAACCTTTTGATACGGTTGTACTTTTCCTTCTACATTTTTTTTGTCTACGTGATACCGACTTATTTTTGTATAAGCTGAGATAA